GCGCGACATCCAAAATGGCCAAGATACACAAGGCCCATCAACGTTTGGCCCGCTTGCCAAATGTACCTGAACTGGTCAAGTCATCCGACACGTCCATGCCTTTCGCTGTTGAGCTGCCAGGTGATGAGCCTAGCTGGCCAGCACCTGGCACGCCACGAAGCCGGCAGTCCTACGAATCTGGAACCGACAATCTCCAGCTGCCTTTCGGCGCCACACCTTCACCCCGAAGCTCAGGCGAGCGTTTGCACTCACCGCCGCCCATGACGGGATCGCCGTCGGGCCGCCCAGCTCAACTGGCGCCACCGGTGGCTGACCCGGCCTCTCCCGACTCAGACAAGTTGGTCATCACTGCGCCGACTCCAGCACAGTACCGGCACGCAGCAGGGGCCGATAAGATTGCTATCATGAGCCCTGATGAGCATCCGCGATGGCAAGGGTCGAACGGGCAACATCCTTCTCATCAGCCTCAGCTTCCGCAACGCATCCCGCCTCCTCTACCACCCAAGACGCCGCTACCCGAGCGGCAGATGTCGCCTCGAGGCCCGCATGGGGCTCCTCCTCTGCCATATCCTACCGATGATGAACCCCCGCCCGTGAACATGGCCAGAAAGCCAGACTACCGAGGACGTTGAGGTCGACATCCTGCAGATAGTCAACAGTTCCGTTCTTGCCTATGAGCAAGCTTGGGTTGCATTCGTTGCGGGTTTGAAAGGAGTGTTCATTGGGCTGGCGTTCACTGGCTGTTGTTTTTCTTGGCCCTCGAGGCTTTCCGCAAGAATACCACAATATCATGCAAAGGTTTTTCTGCTGTCCCGTCAGTCTTGGCTATCTCCCGGGTACGATGTTTTGGCCACAAAATGTGCATCAATACGTGTTCTTCTTCAGGAGGGTCCGTATGTCACCGAATCGAGAATGTCGTCAGCCATCCAAGTCCAAAAATGCTGCAATGAGGCGGGACTTCACATTTAATTTCAAAGGTTTGTGCAACGAACCACTGTAGTCAAGTTTCCAGCTCCAGTTATGAAAGACGATAAGCTTAATTGACCGCCGTCTCCCCTGCGGCACTGAAATATGTCCCCAGTGTCGCATCAATGTAACGAGACGACTTTTTAACTTGTTCGGCATTCATTTGCTGGCGGTGTCTTGAATTTAAAAGCTCGCAAATCCAGCTGTGTGTTTCGGTCCGGGGAACGACCAGCTTGAGTAGATGCCAAGATGAATATACAGCAGACCCCTATTACTCTTCAGGACTTCGCTATAGCGAAGGCCAACCACTTGACCACCGCTAACACTTGTCAAATGACAACCTATGTTACATGTATATGTTACATCGAATTGCATTATGCAAGGGTGCCACTTAGGAAAACACTCAATTTCAAAGAAATGTTGCGTTTCTACAGGAAATAGACTGAATGGTGACAGATTTATCGCGTGAAGCTGAGACACGTAGCGACTCTGAAACTTCCAGAGTATACAGCCTCACATCCACGGCAGCCTCGATGTATTGCTGTTTCGGAAGCTGTCACGCTCCAAGTACCAACGGATGGATGACGTATATCAGATGTCCACCACAGCTTCCGACAGGTTCCATGGTGCCTGGTTTGAGTGCAAACCTCTATTCTTCGAGGCGCCGTCCTAGTGTGGCGGTGACCGTTGCGCTGAAGCAAGCCAGGCTCGACTTGGTTGAGGGATGATACAGGTGCATCGTCAGGGGCGTCAGGGGTTGAGTGCCGTTTGATGCCGATTCGAACTTCCCAAGCCAGGCTCCCACTTCGTGCGAGCGCTGTTGAGTTGCGTCGTCATGCCATGAAACGGGTTCAAACTGCTGAAGAGGAAAATGGCTGCGTCTAAGACTAGTTTTCCAGACTTGACAGGGGATCGTATGATTATAGGAGCAGCTTCAGCCCTACGGCGGCCCCATGAGGTCGTCCATGTTGGGCTATTGAGTCAGACATGACTGACACATGCAGCATCAGTATGAGGGCGGGATTGCTACACCTTCTCGGTACACGCGCCGCGTCGTGATTGGTATCGGGACCATGAAGAAGCTAGACCAGGGAGCTGAGAGGAGCAGCACCGATTTGTGGATGGATGCAGCCTGACAAATACATTATTCAGAATCTGTCCCAGGGGAAAAGGGGGTGAAGAGAATGTGTGGCGATCCTCGAGGGGCGAGTATGCCGGCACCACTGCACCCTGAATCAATAATACAGTCCAGCCCTACCCGCTCCGTCGGACTCGCCACTGGCTTCACGATTGGCGATGGTCTTGCGCTGATGCTCGACTCAGGTGCTTGATCGTGGTGTCCGTCGGTCCGGGGAACCGAGAAGGGATGGCATGGGATGAACCCATCATGACAGCTTCATGTGGAGGAGGTGCCAGCTTGGAATGCTGTCGGCTCGCATCAGTCTTGATATTCTGTATCTTAATGCGAACCAGGGGAAGGGCAGGTCGTACTCAGATTCAAGGTAATCGGCGGCGATGGACCGGTGCGGCTGCAGTAATTTACCTTTCCCTCCCCCAGTGAACGAGAATCTTCATGCGCTGTGCCCTGGTGTGGACCAAAAGATGTAGTCACGCTGGCGCAACAATGTAACGCCGTCATCGACAAGTCGAGATATACAGTCACCCAAAACTACCTGACCTGGGTAGGCTGGCCTGCTGCCCTCGACGGCCTTTTTCAGCGTCGTGGGGGCTGTATTGGGTCGTGTTACCCATGACCCTGCATAGTGACTACCTTAAACTGAGATGAGCTCCTCTCTCAACTGCCACGTCAGCCTGTGTCTCCATCACCAAACTTTCACCACAATACACTTGGGAGACGTCGACAGATACGTGGTCGGAACTTGCCTTTGTCCCCCGGACCCAAATTTGTTCACATCACCAGATACAGCGCACATGGAATAGATTTCGGACGCGTCCAGACCGTCACTGGAATATTGCATGATGGCCCGAGATAGCGGTTTGATATAGGAACCCTTGATATTGTGGATCGAGAAGGCATCCTCGAAACCCAGGGAGATCACAGCCGACAATACCCTTTCGCTCCAGACCCAGATGTCGGCCACGCCTCAGAGCAGAGATCGTGGTGAGGTCGCGCAATCACTCGCTCTTTCTTCACCGTTGGCACAAGGCGCATGGAACTGCCTGCCTCGGAATGGCCACTAGCAAGGTCGCTCATTGCATGGAGCACGGCCACAGATGAGCTCCCTGCCTGACCACGTCTATCGAACCTCGTGATTGCTGGCAGAGAGAGAGAGAGAGAGAGAGGTAGAGGCACACAGGGTCCGAATCAAGGGCACAGGTCGCGACTTGCTCCCGCCACCCCGGGAGTGAGCGAGCTTGTGTCCCAGGATACCCAAGAAAGGCTCTGAAGCACTCGAGACGTGATGCAGGTGCGAAGATGGCAAGATAGCCCCTATGCGGGCTAGCCTTGCCAGCCCGCCTGGTTCATCATGATGTGGGCACAGGAGACACCTGAACTCTATGTCCGCAGGGCTGTTCACAACGCCGCCTCGAGTCTACCGCGTAGGCCTAGGCCGCAAGCTCCTTCCCTGCGTAGCTCGCCGGCCCTGCACAGGGCACGCGGCTCACCCACCGTCGTCTGGCCGGGACAGGAAGGGGCGATGGACGCATTCGGAGCACGCCTTGGGACGCTCCTGTCTCGCCAAGCCGCCGGGAGCTGCCCGTTGCCCGTGGCTAGGTAGGTACATGTAGAGGTGACTGTCGCGCTATGCCCGGCTACGCGCGATATGCCTGGCTACACGCGACTTCATATGTGCTACCTTGAACGGACGCGCGTGAAGAGGCGCGAACAAGACGCATGGTGCTAAGCCCTGAGACCCAGAGACTAACGACCAGCTACCTACTGATAGGCATGATACCATGTTGTTTCTGGCAGAACCAGGTCAAGGGCGAGTCAGGCATGGGGACGAGGGGGTCACGATGGTGCGGACGGAGAGGGACGAGTCCGCAGCGGGGGCCAGCGCCCAGACCAAATGGGTGGAGAGAACTGCAAGGCGTACAGAAGAGGTTTCAAGGCTCGAGGCTAAGATGGTTAACTCCAAATCAAGTTGACGAACTTGTTACGCGGCACCGCCATCTTTGAAGTTGTGCCGTGATGGGCGGGGCGAGTGTGTGAGTGAGTACACAGCATATCTGCCTTAAAAGGGGTAGAGTAGCGACGATTGGCTGTGACAACCTCGTCAGCCTCACAGGCTTCGCAAGCGCGCATACGAGGATGGCGCGAATGCAGATGACATAGCCGTGCGCAGCCTCCGCCTCTGTCTCCGCCCCTTCCATCCTCTGCACTCCCAAGTTCGATGGAAGTGGTGTTGATAGCGATGGGGCATATACTACAGGCCAGGCAGCAATGCAGACAGACAGACCGACAGACAGACGCTTGTGGCGGGTAGCCTGGGGGCCATGTGCTTGCGGCCGGCCCTACAAGGAGGTTTGATCGGATATCGGGTCATGCACTTTGCTAGACCAAGCATTCCCAGGCACCCTAGATTGACGCGCGCGGTATCCGGCGGCGGTCTATCGAAGCGGGTTCCGCCCGCTCGATCCGCTCTACATTTTGCATTCTACTGCACAGTTCATGTCCAAATCCTGGCCCGCGCCGAGCTTCCTACCTCTCACTTTGCCCTTCGTCCAATCTGGTTCGTAGAAGAAAGGCCTGGCTTTTCTGAAAGGGGGTTCCATAGAACATCAACCCGTGCTAAGAGAGCATGGTTTCACCACATAGGAAAAAAAAACGCCAGAGGCGACAGCGACACTCTCGGGAACGAACAGGCAGAGACAGAGAGAGAGAGAGAGAGAGAGATGGAGAGTCGTTGGCGCCAGACGCAGCCCAAGCCAACATGGGAAGTGATGAACACACAAAACGACAAAACGTGGATGTCAAGCGGGGGCGACAGGGGGTACCGCCGCGGAGGCAGGTTGGGCAGACACCGGCCCCGACCAGCAAGATGGTGTACCGGCCACGTTTTCCACCCCTTGCCGCTGCCCACGGTCGGGTACCGTTGACTTATCGGCGTAGGCAGACAGGCCAGCGTAGCACGTGCCCATCGCAAACGTACCGTCTCCCTCCCTCGGGACTCGGGGGGAGGGTGGCAAACGAACTGAATGAGGAAACATCATGCATGGTGAGAAGGTACCTTACGTGGCGAGGGAAGATGCGATGCATTCACAACGCATACGACTGACCAATGAACAAGGGGGGGGGGCGGGGGAGGGGGTTCCTGCGATACGTCGCGCAGGCCATGTCAGCTGCTGCCGTCGAAAGGAAAAGATGGCTCGGGCCAGGGCTGGGGCTCAGTGTAACGGATGCTGTGGGCTGAGCAACGGCGGTGAAGGATGGTGAGCTGAGACCTGGCGTGGGAGGGTGTCCAGCAACTGGCAAGAAGCGGTACGAGGCGTGCGACGCCGCGCTGTCTGTTTTGCCCCGATGTCCTCATCTTCCAATGGCGATCAGAAGCGACCGGAAATGTGGTTCACACATCAAGCTGAGACGCCACCAGTCATAGTGAGAGCAGAAGGGACGGGCAGGAACATGGAACGAACCCCCCCCCCCCCCAAAAAAAAACAAAGACATGGTGACCGAACAAAATAGTCACGACCAATTCATCACCCACCTACACTATAACGACCGACGGCTAACGGATGTCGGGAGGGTGGGCGGTCAAAGTACCTTGAGGTAGTAACAGCACAGATTCAAGACCAGTCTTCTGCGAGATCGAATAGCAATCAAAAGAACTGGTGCGTGCCCACCGTCTAGGCCGTTAGCCAAGCAGCCGGCGTGGGCGGCAAGCTGAGTCGCTCGCCCTTCTGGAAGGGCTTGGAAGCGTTCCGGTGCTGCAGGAGCTGCATGAGCTGCAGGTGCTAACAGGTCTGAAGCCCAAGAGGCCGCCAGAAGGTTTCTGGAAGGAATGCCCATGGATGGAACTTCCGGTACTTGGCCCGGAGTCCAGCAAACAGAGTTTGAGTCTGCCGAAGTCCCAAGACTGAATGCTACTTGCATGACAGACCACGTTTCTTGTTTCGCAATCGGAAGGCTAAAACGCTCTTTGCGCTGACCAGTCGGAAGTGCATCATTTGCTCATCTGTGCAAGACAAAGAATCCACCGGCGATATGGTGACACCATTCCTCTCACGGTTTTCCTCTTGCCCACCACTCGGGCCCCAAGGGTACTCCTCGGTGCCACTGCAGATCGCCTGAGGCTCCGCTGTTCAAGCTTCTTCTCTGCATCCTTCGTCGCGACTTCCAGTTTCGTCCTTCTCCTCTTCATCGATTGACGCCCTCCCCCTCTCCTGGCGAGCTGGCGCAGAGGTCTTGGGTCCATCTACCACCAAGGAATCTGCCGGCGCTACTGTTGGCTCCAATTAAATGGGTATACTAGAAACAAGTGCGCATACTGGTTGGCTCACCTCGTACCCGCCGCCGGCATCGGCGTGATTTATGGGGCAAAGCTAGCTGCCAGGGCCAAGGGTAAGAAAGGAAGACCTTAACGCCGATGCCAGCTCGCAGTAGCGTGCAGATAGTCCTGAGTCATGGCGCAGATAGCCCGGTCGCATGTCGGGAACAACGCCGACGACGACCAATGTGTCTCGGAGCTTCGCGGAGCCAATGAGCAGCGTGATATGGTTCACTGGCATGCATATTGGGGGGCGGCGATCATGTGCGACCTCATGGAATATGCATATGCTATTTGAACGGCGTTGCCATTTGACCTAAGTACTGCGTTCCCGAAAGCGTAGACATGTGTCACGACCCGTTGACGTGCATCGCTACGATGTGGCCAGTAAGAAACGGTGCGGCGTTCTAGGGTTCGTATCCGCTCCATGTTGGAGGAGACGGAACAAGTGGATTTGTTCAGAGTTTGCTGGTGGTTTTCGCCATGACGGCACCGGCAGGGCTATCAGCACCGGCCCGGTCACCGACATGGATGCGCTCCAGACCGCGGCGCATCTCGAGACTCATACCAGAGGCCACAGGCCGGCCGGTAGACCGCTCAACAAACACTTGAATGAATTCCCCGACAGCTCTGACGTCCTGAACACCCTTTTCGAAGAGACCAATCTCATAGGTGACGCTCGTCTTACCGAGCTTGTTGACGCGCAAGGCCAGTTCGGCTACAGCTGGGAATGAAATGGATGCGAAGTAATCGCTGTGCGAATGCACGACCACGCCGTGCTGCGGGGAAGACGCCGGCTGAAGTCCGCAGTGTTCGATGAGGTAGGTGTTGACCACCGAGTCATACAAGAAATTGTATACGGAGTTGTTCATGTGTTGGTACATGTCGTTATCGGCCCTGGATTGCTCATGGTTATTCATTGCACGCCCCCGCCCCCTCTCAAGTCCATGGAACAACTGGATGGGAAAGAGGCACCCACCATCGCGTCCGGTAGTCAAGAATGTAGTGATAATCCTGCCGGCGACGCTGTTTGAGCTCTCGGTGCGAGGCAGCCATGGTCTCGTGGTCTGTTGTATGGTGTTCGTTGGACAGCGCACACAAGGCCGATGGTGGTGTGGACTGGCGGTGGGTAATTGCAAGAAGTTGATACGTCAAGAGAAGAGGAACAGACCAGAAGGGTGGGGGGAGGGGCGGTTCTTCCAGGTTTCTAGACTGGTAGATCCCGAAACTATTCAGGTAGTGGTTAAGAAGCAAGCTGTGTACATGGACCTGGGAATGGCATTATGCGTGTCGGTCGAGTATCGTTCACTCCCCTCCGCAAGTGACAGAGGGCGATCAGGGGACGGAGCCGACTCAAGACAGATATAGCGGGCGAGGCCACAAATGATGAGCCGGAACCGAGGCTTGTTGATTTGGCGGCGAGGGGGATAGCGCGGGTGATATCGTGCACAGACCATGCGAGGCTCGACCGGTCCAATCTGCCGCGACTCACCGCCCAATATTTTCTGACTCCCGACGCAGATCGCATCCTCAGCGGCCGTTTGAGATGAGTAGAGGTCGAAACACCTTGCTCTGCGTCACCGTCGTCTGCTGCGCTACCGCACCACCCCATCACGCGCATCAACCAGTCCGTCCTTACAAGGCTGGTACCACCCCAATCATCAAAGTGGCTGCCCTCGGACGTCTCTTGGCGCCTTTCGTGCGGTTGACCCGATCCATCGTCGCCTCGCCCATGACATCTTCGTCGCCCCCTGACCCGGTGCCTTCGCAGCTGGCCGTGGAACAGGCAGAGGCAGCGCAGACAGCGCTGCCGCCCGCTCGGAAGACAGAAAAGAAGCAGAAGAAAAGGACACCCGATCATGGCAATGCTCTCCCGGACACAATCATCACCCCTCTCGAAGGACCCTGGCCGCGTCCCTACGTCATTGAGGATGGCCTGCGCAAAGTGGAACCGTATTATCACACCTTCAACACCTACTGCAAGGAACGCTGGCGTGGTCGCACCTTGATAGACGTGTTTTCCTGCGAGTTCCGGGACCGAACACCCGAGTACTATCGGAAATGCATGGACGATGGCAAAATTGCGGCGAACGGCAAAGTCGTTGGCGCCGATTATGTCATCAGAAACGGTGATCTAGTCAGTCACACCTCCCATCGCCACGAACCGCCCGTCACGGCGGAGCCCATTGCCGTCATTCACGAGGACAATGACTATCTCATCGTTAACAAACCGGCGGGCGTTCCGGTCCACCCCGCCGGCCGCTACAACTTCAACTCGGTTGTTGAGATCCTCAAGTCGGAGCGTGGTGCGCACTTCATGCCCCGCCCCTGTCACCGGCTCGATCGTCTGACGAGTGGTATCCTGTGCTTCGGCAAGACTGCGCAGGCTGCTACCGACCTCAGCCGTCAAATACAGGCGCGCATGGTGCGCAAAGAGTATGTCGCCCGGGTCATCGGCCACTTTCCCGATGGCGAGGTGGTTTGCGACCAGCCGCTGCTGCAGATATCACCCCGTCTGGGTCTCAACCGTGTCCGTGCCAACGGCAAATTCGCTCGTACCGTCTTCAAGCGCCTGGCCTACTACCCTCCGCCGTTGTCCGATGTCGACGGGGGGCCGGAACAAAGACCCAAGACGCCCGAGGAAGCCGCAGATGAGGAGCAGCGCCCGTGGACTGCCAAGAAGGGTTACTCCATCGTCCGCTGTCTGCCCCTGACCGGCAGGACGCACCAGATCCGCGTGCATTTGCAGTTCCTCGGTTATCCCATCCAGAACGACCCGATATACGCCAACCAAAGAGTCTGGGGGTTCGATCTCGGCTGTAACGATGACGGGACTACGCACACGGATGAGGATATCATGTCGCGTCTCGAGAAGATGGGTAAAGAAGAAGTCGCTGACGCAGTAGCATACCACGAAGAAATGGTGGATTTGTACCACAAACGAAGGGCTGAGAAGCTCTCTGGTGAACTGTGCAAGACGTGCGACACGCCGCTCTACACGGACCCAGGTGATCAGGAGCTGTCTCTGTTCCTTCACAGTCTTCGATACGAGGACTCGGGAGGCAAATGGAGTTATTGCAGCCCTCTGCCTCCCTGGGCGCTTCCACCGAGTGGCATGAGTGGACCGACAGCAGTAGGGGGGCTGGGAGAACTTGTGGAAGCTGTCAAGGATGACCCAATCGATCTGACCTCGTAGAGGCTGTCTTGCTTCCCTGCCTGTGGTGTGTCCATTTGCTGCATGCATATTGACGTGAACTGGGAGTCTAAAGCGAAGGAATAGAATATCCTGTCACATCTTCGCGAGGCTTCTAACTTGTGAGCATGTCTTTACTCACGCCGCAGCCTCCCTGATGTCGACCAGCTTTGAAAATGGCCCGGAGTTGCTTTAATTCGGCACGCCCGAGCCAGGCAGGTGGAGCCGCTTTCTCACCGATTGCCATTTTAGGTGCTCATAGGCTCTGATTCTCCGAAAGCCAAATCTTTGCCTTGGCTTCTGTCGGCTGGGCTGGCTAGGTTGCAAGCTCGCTCCTGAGTGGCTGGTGGTTGTGGAAGCTCCCCCGCCCAAAGTAACCCCCCCCCCCCCAAAAAAAACCAGCGAACCAAAGTCACTTGAGTATCTCCGCTGCTGGCTCAATCTATGCCTCAGCTTCTTTCCCTCTCAGCGCTCCGCGACACCGAGCAGATTCGCGCTCATGAAGGAGTAGGCCTGGCCCTGCCTTTTGTTGCGGCAACGACAGCCATTGCGCCACTACGGAGCCACCCGGCCAGTACTGGGTACGATGAGTTGTCACGCAGACTACTGGGTGTCGCAACCACCATTACGGACCAGGATATCACCTTTCGATGCCTTGCCCGATAGCTCGTCCCGCAAACGGAGTCAAGTCCGAGTTGCGACCGCTGTTGGAGGGGTCTGAAAGAAATCCCAAGCCGGGGGACTGGGCCAACCACCCATCGCTTCGGTACTACACATTCCACGCCCGTGTGTTGCCGACGTACCCCGGTACGTACCCTGCGCGCCCGGACCCAAACCACCTGATGGATCAGAGGTGGTGCGTAATCCCGCGTCCGCTGTCTCTTCCACCTCCCCGAACATGAGGTTATTGCTGTACATGGCTTGACCAAAGGCTGCTGCTCCATCGATCATTCCGATTTCCAAAGTCGCAAGCGTCGCCAGCATCGAGGCTGGTCCGACAAACTAATCAGACTCCTTCTCCTGTGTCAAGATGGCTCAATCAACCAGTTCACATTGAGGTGAGTAGCGGGCCGTGTGGCTGGCGACACCCACAGGACATTGCGTACGCCTAACCCACAACCATCGGGTGCGCTTTGTGGAGTCGGCCGCCCCTCTCGGGGGCCGCGTCCCTGGATCACAGTAGAAGTGGCCCTGATTTAATGGCTGAGGAAGCCTGGAATTGAGGGACAAGGAGAGTCGGGCAGCCACGATCCATTCAGTCGGCACGCAGCGCCACTGATCTCGTAAAAAGGTAGAATGGCCGTCATGGTGAATGATTGTTGATGTAGACAATCCAGGTTGCGCAGTGCATCAAGGTAAATCTTCGCAGCGTTGTACGGCACCGGCGAGGCCGGCGGCCTTAATGCCGACACACAGCATGGGCTCAGCCGCTTTGGCACCACAGCTCCTCCAAAGTAGCTTCATGTCTGTCGACCACAGGTTTTGGTTCGGTCTCGGCTCTGCTGAAATGGCTTTCTCTCTTGTCGCTGTAGTGGTAGTTGAGCTCAAAAACTGCGTAGATGCGGGGAATGGGAGATGATCTGCACTGGCAAATCTGGCAGTTGTTGGATGAGCTCGGCATTTCCCCCGGGGCGCAAGCTGAGCTTGGCCGACACGGCTGCCTCTGCCCAGCTTTTCCGAACGACGAAGTTCCTTGTTCATCACGTTTGCCAGAACCCTTCAATGCCTCCGGCAAGACGTTGCACATGCCAACTGCACTCATTCTTCGCCTTCTACTGCCACCAGCCTGGCACCTGCCACCGCGGTTGATTTTTGTCTCCATCGAGCTCCATCGAGGACTGCGGCACAGACTGCTCGTCAAGAGAGTGAAGCAAGGAGACAAGCACGGCCACAAGGGATGATTAAAGGGTGATGACACGGTGTCGAAAGCAATGGGGCTATTCGCCATGCCTGACGCTTGAGCCAGAGAGGCAGCGAACGGAAAAGAAGGTCGGCAATCATCATCTGCCAGGTCTAAAATCACTATACTTCTCCGTAGCGGGTAGTCTAAAGAACACGCTTAAGCTCACCTTCTGTGTTTTTAAGGGCCAGCCGGGGGTCTTTGGTCACGTCCTTTGTTCGCCTTCCATCCTCACATGGAGTGTGCGATCGGAGATTCTGTGGGCATGTCGCCGTCGCTGTTCGGAAGCGTCCACGGATGGATAGGTCTGGCTGGTGCTGGATGGCTGACTGGCTGGCGACGGCGTATCCTCATCCCCTTGGTCTCGGTTATTGTTCTTCGCAATGAAGAAACGGACGGCGCGATGCAGTGCAGTCGAGTTCAGCTGTCTGTGTCTCCAAGCGTTTCCCGCCATTGTGTTCCATCTCACTTGCACACCGGCCGGTGTTTCTTTCGGCAACACAACCTGAGCTGAGCTCCATGCCGCTGGGCCGCTCGTTCATCGGCAGTGGCATAACGCCGATGAGTTGCTGCCTTGCCACTCGTGGCGATGATAGCGTGTGTGTGTATGTGTGTGTGTGTGCTTGATCCCACGACGGTCTGGACGGCTGCACAATACGTATGTTGTGATTGTGTTTGTCGACTGCATACCGTCGAGATACATTGAGCTGATCGATACGGGTATTCCCAGGAGCCCCCCAGGACTGTTTCTCCGAGACCTCGGCAAAGGAGGCGGTGGGATTTTGGATCAAGGATCGGGCAAATCTGGCGCTGGCCACTGGTTGGTTCTGGCTCCTTGCCTCGTTCGTGCTCTCCTGCTCTTGCTCTGCTTCATCGGGTCAGTAGAGCGTCATCAGGTTGCTTCCAAATGGCGTCTCTGGGCAGCCGTCGAAAGTCTGATGGACAGGCGGTGCGATCCAAAGGTCCGTCCCAGAGACAACCTGAGTGCACGGCGACTCCACTGTATCTACCCAGTGTTTCTAGCGGCACATCAGACCAACAGAGTTTTACACGAATTCGGAGTAGCCTAAACTCTAATTCCCTGAGGAACACAGGCCCCCCCTGGCCAGGCGACCCGGGCGCTGCCAGACGGATCAGAGAAGGGTAGGACATACCAGACGAGCGTCAGAGTAATCCCCGACCGTGACATCGATGGGGCTACAAGGCCCAGGGGGAAAGGGGGGGGGGGCAGTGTTGTCATCAAAATTCTTCTTTCATCGACACACACCCCGACCCTCTTCTTCTGGGCCTTTCGCACACCCCCGAGCACGCCCCCCCTGGCCCCCGGTCACTCCTCGCCTTCCATGAGGGTTCCTGGGACTCGAGAGTCGAAGACCAAGCAACATGGGAGGCCCCGTTCTGCACTATACCGAATAAAGACCGGGATCCTAGCAAGGATCAGGGCTCTAACGGGACTTTGTACGTAGTAGCAATAAACTCCTATGGCCTAGCGTTTTACTGTAACCTCTCCTCCCCCCCCCCCTTGGTACCAGAACCGAACACGCCCCCCCTCCCTACCCCCTGAACGATCCATCCGTCACCACAGAGCTCATCGACCCGAACGACTCCCCAGCTGTTCCCTGCATCTGTGTGTAGTTCTCGAAGTGGGTTAGCAATTTGCGCCTGGTCCCAGTCTAACCTGTCTGTCATGATGATGCCAGCCCAAGGGGTGCCGTAATGGCCAGCCCGGTCACTACTAGTTACGTACCCAGGTACAAACGGAAGGGCTGTGTTCCAGGGTACTTGGTCCGTTGTCGTCGTCGTCGCCGCCGTCGTCGTCGCCGTCGCCGTCGTCACCCTTCCTCTCCCCATGGCCCATGGTCAGACCCATCTCAGACGCGAGCTAGCATTTGTGCCGGATGCATCCTTCCCATGAGCCCTTGTACCAGGAACTTATACCATCTGCGCTTCTCGCCCTGAAACCCCTTTGCCGGCCGGCACCGGGGACCCTACATAGTACGCCTGTTACCAAGTATGTACATGCAGAGAGCTCAACACTGATAAATCGATCTATATCATGCCAATGGGTCCTCTGCGACTGTCTACCCCTGCCGCACACCCCGTAAACGTAAGGTATTCCCCAGAAGTAGAGCACGACCACTGGCACCAACACCTCACACATATATACCTATACCGCGAACCTCAACACAACATAAACGAACAAGAACCCCTCTTTCCTTCCGCTCGATAACCTCCAAGTTCTTCGGCTCCTGCGACCCAGCCTGACCTCAACCTTCCTTTACCTCACCTCACTTGATCTCTCACTTTCACCTGCCCTCTGCTAAACCCCCACCCTTCTTCTCCATTCACAATCTTCTTTTTTTTCTCTCCTACCACCCACTGTTCACGGGCGCGAATACACATCCGCGCACGCATACGAACACGTACCCGCACGATCATCCACATACGAACGAACTGCTCGCCATGACACGATCCTCTTCCGCAGAGCCCGCCAAGGGTACCAAGAGAAAGGGTAAGCACCCCCCCCCCCCCCTTCCATCCTTCTTCATCCCCTCCCCCGCACCAGAAAGCTCTGACCCGGGGGAGGATCACGACCGCATCATGATGGTATGGAGTAAGACTGACTCGAACGACTTTTCAGGTACGAGGAGCGTCTCGACATTGAACCCCGCCCAGTTGGCGCGCAAGAGAGCCAACGATCGAGAGGCCCAGCGAGCCATTCGCGCACGCACCAAGGAACACATCGAGAGGCTGGAGCAACAGCTCGCCGATCTGCAAAGCGAGCGAGGCGGAGACCAGTCGCAGACGATTCAAGAACTCACCCGGAGGAATAGAGCCCTCGAGGAGGAGATCTACCGCCTCAGGGAGGCCGCAGGACAGCCCACCGGCCACTCGTACCCCAACTCGGGTATGCTCCCCATGAACCTACAACACGCCCACATGGCGCAGCCCCAGCCCAGCGATCAACTCGCTAACACGATGATGATGATGCCCAGTCTACGACGACAACCTGAGCTCTGTCAGCGGGGCCATACCGAGCCCGCGATCATCCCCGTTCCCGGCGTCAGGTGGCTATAGCGGCATGCCCGAGCTGGGACCCTCTTACGTGCCTCTCCCTGATGCCTCGGAGTCGTGGGGTCCTGGCGTCTCAGTGCCCTCCAACGTCTCCAGCCCGTCGTCCTCCGCCAATACGGACGAGTACGGCGGCGCCTACATCCCAACGAGCATCCCGGCGCCCATGATGGAAGCGAGGAGCGTTCCCGCCAAGATGGATTATGACGATGTAGACTCTGGTAAGCAACGCACGCCAACGGCGTACGTGCAACGCAATCCTGAGACGCTAACCACCCAGTCCGCAGACGCTGGCTACCCTCTCTCGCATCATCGCAGCCAGGTGGGCGCCAACGGCTACCTGCCTCACGAGCCATGGAATATGTACCCGGCCCTGTACTACCAGCAGCAGCCGTCAGCCCACTGATTCGGCAGCCGGGCACGTCTTTTTGGGAAATGCCGTCCCTTGTCCTAGCGCCTACCTGCGCTGCCGACCAGTGGATCATCAGTTTCGCACACGACTGCCGCCGGCTCGCGCAAACGAAAAACATTGACGCGCTTCTCCGGCCTCCGCGTGTCAACTTGAAGACACTCCTCGAGTATAAACCGCCTTCGCCAACGCACCCCGCACCGCGAATCCACATTGCCGACCTCGAACGTGCTCTCGACGTGAACAGTGCCGGTTCAGGCGCCGCGCCGCACCCTCTGGCCGAGCTGATAACGGCACTTGTCGATAAGGCCGGCATGGCCAATGTGGTGGAGCGCCTTGCCCTATTCCTCCCTGCCCAGCGTATCTTGGCTTGGTTGGCACAGCCCACCCGCGAGTCCTACAACGCCCTCGTCCTCAACTACGCCCCCCGACCCAGCCAGCTCACGGTCCCTCACCCACAATGGGTAGACTTCGTGCTGCAAGGCCCTCTGCGCGACGCCATTATTGAGCGACAGGATGTATACGCCACAGAAGAGTTTCAGAACATCTACGCTAATAGCCTTCGCCTCCTCAATTGGCCAGGTCGGCCGGTGGACGCGATCAACATGGACCCGACAACGGGCGAGGTGTGGCTCAACGACACGTTTGCCGCACATGCTCTACGGATTGAGAATTGGCGCATGCACGAGACTTTCGTCCGGCGCTATCCTGAGCTTCGCGGCTTTGTAGAGCTTACAGAGTCCTGATACAAGACTGAGAGTCCACAGTATACCTAAGCTTGTTTCGCTTCTTCTGTTACAATTCCACTTGGTCTATCTTATCAGCTCGAAATGCCATCTATGTTTCTTCATTTTTTATTCCTGTCCTGCGAATTCTATGATGCTGCGTGTACTCCTGGTGTGTCTTTGCGTGTGCTCTAGACATAGATTTTCTGCTTTCACCCTACCGCACGCATCGAGAGTGGGTGGTATGATCTGGAATAGGGGTTTTTTTTTTCATTCCTCGGAGGGCTACAAAACCCCTTGCACAGTCGCAGGGGTTCGGACACGCTGAAGCGTGGAGGCATCTCGTCTATGTTGGTCCGCTCACGTTTCTTGTTCTAACACTCTTCTCCGTTGTCTTAGCCGTGGTGGACAAGAGGTTCCAAAAACGAACCCAGACAGGGCGGGGCGGGCATAGACGGTAAATGGACGGGGACGGCATCGCCGGTGGCCGGCAGCAATCGGAGGGGTCTTGAGGTACCTGTTCGCAGGTGATGAACCCCCCCCCCCCCGGATGCGGGAGCAGCGCCTTGGCGCTGGCCATTTGCGTAGAGTTTGACACACTTGCCTGGATTCGGGGGTGGGGGGCAGGGAGGAGGGATAGCAATGGGGTTAAGGAAGGGAATGCAAGAGATTGAGAACTGACGGCCATCATGACTCCCGTGTCATCGTGGGATTGAATGCTACACTATGCACAAACTCTCCACAGATTCCCAACGAACACGTCGCATTGTGCGCTTCACTCTGTCCATGCGTCCTCGGCGCCGCGCCGCATTGCGCTTCGTCTTACCGTCCCCAGTGCTGCCCCCAATAAGTGAGTTCTAGTGGTGCAGGTACCATTACATACATGAATAGCTGCCAAGTGACCTGCGCCACCCCCAGCTGCGTATGTTGAAGCAAAGGCCCTGCCGGCACTCCCGATCGGCAGCATGAGGTCATCATTCGAGATTTCGGTTCGGGAAGAGGGGGGGAGAGACGGGATTGCCGCAACACCAAGAGCTTGCAAGACAGAGCAAGGAAATGGAGGAAGGGGGCAGGGAGGGGGACGAGGGACTGGTCGATGAGGAAAGAGACGGGCGTTGACTGAATGCGTGTATGCTTGGAACGGGCGTTCACCGAGTGTCCTGTGGCAGAAGCGCTTAAGCGGCGCGAATCCACATAATGGTGTTATTCTGGGAGGTGGGCTGGCGCTTCACTCTAACAGATGCAGCGACATCCACGACAGGTTTCGCGTACACAACCCTTTGGTTCTGTGCGCAGAATGGGATTGCGTGTAGATCGGCCTTTCGGGCTGATCCAAGCTCTCTCGCATCGTCTGATTAGCATCTGTGTTTCTTTCTCACCCTCAATCTCGTGCGCCGTCTTCTTCCAATTAACCCCCCCCCCTTTTTTTTCCCCTGCCACGTTCTGCTGTAGCGTAGTGGGTTCTCAGCTAAGTTTTGGGAGGACCAATGATTTGTACGTGCGTATATTGTTGATGGATGAATGAGCTGACGAGTGCATCGTGACAGTCGTCATCTCGACGGGAGCAAGTCAGAGAGAAGAACAACTGTAACTCGTAATCCCTGCCTGGCATGCAATACCAGCCACCCCTGGCTCCCTGTCTTTGTTGTTCGTGTCTCTGTACCCTCACTACCCGTCTCTATGGTTGGAGAAATCTCCCCAAACCATCAAGCTCCCGTTCCCGTGCCGTGAAAAACGGCTCGGTTCCGTGCTGAAGATGGTCGCACCACATGTTGGTATGGGGACGAATCGGGACGCCGTAAGTCAACGGGTGGTCGTCGGCCACATGGGAGGTTGGTGTGTCCCCCTTCCCCCCTTCCACCCCAGCGGAAGTAAAAAAGAGCCGTGGCCTGGGTGAGCAAATGGTTCTGTAAGCGACAGTTGAAGTGAGGGGCAGGGGTCGCGGACGGCAGGATGGGTAACCTTGGCCGGGGGGTGGATGGACATTGGCGTCTGCGGGCTCGGACGCGATGATGGGGTCGAAGGCTAGGTACAGGGCTTCACGCGATGGGGAGACCAGGGGTAGGGTCTTGGCGCACCTTACTTCAGCTCTGTGTCCACTTGACGTGTCCTCCTTCTCAAACTGGGTACGAAGGGTCGGCAGTGCAGGTTAGGCTGTCAAGGCTGTCAAGCGTTGTTGTGAACTACTCATGACAATGCTCAATATGAATGCCCTTGCAATGCGCTGGGATGATGTAAGAAACGCAACGCAACGTAACGCTATGGCACATCGGCGGATGGCCTTGTCGGGGTTTCCTAACCTCTGGATCTGGTTTACACGATATGTTTGCCGTGTTGGGCCATGGGTGGATGGGGCCGGCTGTGGTGTTCAACCCGTTGCATGCCGCCATGTCTCTTCTCAGTACGCGTTTCCCACACACCCACAGCCACAAAGACGACAGAAATATTTGGAGGCATTATCGGCGATCCTGTTCTGTTGACGCCGGCAGTCGTGTGCGCGCCGATCGCCGACACTATCATGCCAAGCTCATTCTTGGCTTTCGCGTGCCCCAGGGAGCTATCGACTTTGCGAGAGTGAGCAAGAGAGGGTTGAGAGAATGAAAGAGGAGGACCATGTAGTCACCCACTTCTCTTCTCCATAGCTCAAGCTTTGTCCCCCTCCATTTGTGTTCATCATGTGGGCCTTGAAGAGGGGCCATTTGTTTATCTTTCCCGCATCAGTGCTCTGCGCCTGGGTGAGTACGTATGTGCTAAGACTCAAGTGGCTACCGTAGGCGGCTGCTACTCTTGGGCTGGCGCATTCACATGGATGAGCCGAGAGATGGAGAGATGAGGTGTTGTCAAGCCCATCACCAATCTGAGTCGTTGATAGTGTAGGCGTGATGGCTGTGTAGGGCGAGACGGGGCTGGCCAAGTACCAGGTAGGATAAGGCGAGGCAATGTGGCTAACAGAAGGTAAGGCAGGCAGGGTAACAGGCAAGGCCGGACAGGGCAGGGTTTGGCCAGGCGTCGGGTTGATGTCATGTCACAGATGATGTTCCATTCCGTGCGATCTTGGCTGGATCTGTCTTTGGCAAGGACAACGCGATACGATATCCATATACCTTGTGGTGCTTACTGTATGTAGGTGGTTGTACATGGTAGGTGTAGGGGGCTTCCGCACCCTGGCCCCGGTCAGCTTCCCAACGGGCCCCCCTTCCCCTTCCCAAAGACTGGCGAGTAGCTCAGCGGTAGCGTCACAGCCAGCCCTAGGGTGGGGTCCGATTCTACATGTATTTGCCGGGGGAGACGCCGAGAATGATTTATGTCGCCGTACTCGTGTCCCTCACTGCTAATGCGGGCAGAGGGTGCGAGCAGAGGGGCTTTCGCCTTTGACATTGAAGCTCTGTGCAAGGACGCTCAGCAACAACGCTCAGCAAGAACGCTAAGCAAGAACGGTAAGCAAGAACGCCCAGCTTCCTCGTGAGGTGGGGACGAAGTGCGGTGCGGTAGTGAGGGAAGGATCGAGCGAGGCGGGGGGTTGGAGGCAGGCGCCACGCTGGTCTCGCTGCAGACGCACATGGCCTATTTTGGCGACCTCTCAAAATCATCCATCCTCGACCACGAAACAAATCAGATCTTATGACCCCCATCACAGCACATGAACAGCTCGTCGCAAGACTTGTGACATTGTTTTCGGGATCAACAGCGGCAGCACGACAGCTGGGTCGCGACGACCTCGGACCCGACCCGTTCCTCCGTGACGGCACCGAGCAGCTGTCATCTGCCCTGCCTCCGGCTAGCTGCCCATCCTATCCGACCTACAGGCGCACCTACTAGTTCTCTGGGGCTCATGCAAGGCCGATCACCACATGCAAGACAGGGGAACTTTTGAACGGTGGTGAAAGCTGACCTCACTCACAGGCACCCCAGGGGACCCTAGGTGCTACGATGTGCGATGACAGATACGGTGCGCATGCGCACCCAGCCATCGGCAGGCCAAACCAGGCCAGGACAAGCGTACTCTTGTACAGACGGACAAACTTGCAGGCGCACATGCGTCCTGCCATGCCAGGCACCGGCACCCAGGCGTTCCGACTACCGGACGAGATCCGGCACACATGCCAAGGCAGCGGTGCCCTAGACGCTATTCGCTCAGTGCGCTACCAGAGAGCGTATCGAAAGATGTTCACCAGGGGTCTTGGTCTTGTGTTCTTCGTTCTGCGCCCTTCCTGTGCACCCGGTCTGTGGCCCTTGCCCTTACCCTGGCGCGGTTCCATGTCCGGCCCTTTCATGGGGACCCTGCCTTCACCGTCCTGATCTTTGCGCACACTGTTTGCCTATTACTGCCTGGCTTGGCAATATACGGCCTGCTTGATCATACGTAAATGTCTTGTGCAACTGCGTCTCCATCCACAAGTGGTGCTTCTGTCGCACTGCCATCTCCATTCCGGATCTCACCGAAAGTAGACACGGCTTTCCCCCCGCTTCACCACACTACCAGTACGATAGGGTACCAGGTCGAGTCATACCCCGCAGCACCCAAAACGAAGCTTTCTGGGCATGGCAATCGAATGGGCGGGGTTGTAAGGGGGGGGGCGGGGGGGGGCGTGCAGGCAGGAAGCTATCCTGTACAAGTAATTGCCTGCCAGTCGCAACTCCCGCTCGGACAGTGTTCCTAGTTGACACGGAACCGTCAACGCCGGATGTTGTTTCATGGGGGCTGAGAACACAGCCCTGTCTGATTAGGCTTGGTCTAGTTCTCCTTATTCGTCATTCATCCTCACGACACTTTTGGACGAGTTGCGTAAATGCCTGATCATGTAGACCAACGGCAGGGCAGGACAGCGGGATCTTAAAACCTGCATCGGTGCTTCGGACAAAAGACCTGGGAGCGAGATGAACAAACAGCAAAGACAAACGGGCAAACGTCAAGACAGGGGCAAACGAGACAAGAAACGCAGCTCTTCTTGTTGATGCATCATCACCGCCGGCACCGCCGTACAATGTACCTACCGCAAACTCGTCGACCTGCTCTTTCACATTTACATATGGACACATGGAAAGAATACCCTCAGATGTCCTCGTTTGCTTTTCCACCATTCTGGTTTTCGATTTAATATCGCGACTCCAGCCTGCCTCGAGTCGCCAACCCCGCCGCACCACACCGCAATTTGATTAGTACATGTACATCATTTACTGCCTTACGCCTTGTGAGGAAGTGTCTCGCCTCGTCTCGCCCATTAGTGATGGTGTGGTGCCAGTGTTTCCTTTTCGGATGCCGGTTCTCGCTGCTGCAGCTCGATCCGTTCTATTTTGTGCCTCATCTCTACGTTGCCTGCCCGGGATTTTTGGCTGCTTGGTTATCGAAGTTTCGAAGCTTATAGGGAACAAAATAGACTTTGCGCCGTCGCTCCAGATAGATCACCTGGAATCCCCCCCCCCACCAGAAGCCTGGCCTCCATACTCTTTATGCCAAAGCCAATGCGTTACCAGGATCACGTCAAGGCACCCCCGCGTTGACAAACTGTCTTGCCTGCCCTGAGGCCTGCCCCCTTTCTGTGATGCATGGAAGTCCACCCTGTGCGGAAGGCCGTTATAGTGGCACCTCCTTGCTAGGCATGACCAGTCGGCATCTTTTTTGTGTGTACACCGTTGCATAGCGTTGCTCGTGCTCTCCTTTGTGGTGGGTTTGCAACCCATACATGCAGTCTACCAATCGCCAACGTCTCGTCCACGTCTCGGACCATACGCAGAGAGCCTCAGTTTGATAAGCCCATCGACGGGTAGCAAACGGAACGGCACCTTGCAGCTCTCGGTTTCTGGCGGACCTCGGGCTCATCAACGCCATACTGCAGGCGGAGCCCTCCTTCCACCTCTTTGGTCCCGTCTTCCGTCACTAAGAGCCCTGGGCTCTTGGTCCTCGTTGGCCCCGTTGACGTTCTCGACGGAATCTTCTCGCGCGCAAGCCCTCTAGCATAGCTTTCTCCGCTGTTGGTAAAAGGGGGGGGGCACCTTCTTCACATGAAGCGGCCCGTGGTTTACCGCCTCACCCCAGCCCCTCCCCCTTCTTGGCCTCATCATTTCCCCGTCCGCACTCACTAGAGCTGCAGCGGCTGACACCCGGTACCATGGGTTGTGGACTTGACAGCGCTGCTAAAAGTGGTATGGTCAAACATTAGATATCAAGCTCTCGCATGCTAAGCGACGCTGGGCACACTCGGCATTTTGTCAGATCAACCAACGGTTGGGCGCGTCGCGCGACATCACGCGAGGAGGCTCAAGCCACAGAACTCCCTTTCAGATACAAGGCCGAGACCAAGACCCCGAAACAGGCTTCTTCGAAAGGGCGCTAGGATGCGGAGAATCCCATGGACAGCCGGCATGCCCTTGTTCCATCTGCCGTCGCCACGCAATCACCAACTTGAAGTTGTGCCCATCCACTGTCCAAACAGGGTTGCGCAGGGCTGGCGAGGCCGGCAAGCAGGGCACAGGGTCAGACAGAGATGGCGAGCGAGAGCAAGGTACGTTTGGTTGGACGCTTCTGGCACCTCTTCATTCCTTACCAGGCGTAGCCCCTGCCAACTTTGAAGGGAGATCTCCTCGAGGTACATGTACTCGGTACGCTTCACCTGTTGTTTGCCATTCGGAATGGGGCCGATGCCTACTTGGAACGCCATGTGTTCTGAGGGTAGCTGCTCGGTCCGTGCTTGAACGACATACGGAGAGAAACGGTTCCTCTCTCTCACCCCCCCCCCCTGTACATGCATCTTCCTGGGCGCTTGCGAGAGTTCGCATCCATGCCTCGTTTGTCAGGAAATAACGCTTCTGGGCCGCAACAATGCAATGGCACGGATGGTTCTGCTGGGCTGACCTGCTTGACGGCTACGGTCAAGCGCAAGTGATTTTCTTGGCCTCTCGGACGTCAACAACCTGCCTTCAGGATGTTCCGTGAAGGATGCCTTGGACGGTTGCACAGTACGCTAGTGTCCCGTCACCGAGTAAGTGACAGCGGCATAATGGGGGTACTGTAAGGAGAAAGGGGCGGGCAACCTTGGTGCGGCTTCAGCAAGGGAGTATGCGTCTTGAGTGGTACGCAATACTGGCGGGAGTTGAGAAAAGTCGTCAGTAATGTCGACGGTCTTGGCTGTTGAGTACCCATCGATCTGGCCATCACCTCGCGATAGTGGCGATCGCTGCAACTCCAGTCATCCCTAACCCCCTCGGCTTTCGTGGGGCGTGGTAATCGTGAAAATAGGCTGGCGGGGAAGGCGTTGAGAGGGGACGACGATGCGATAGGAGCAGGCTGGCCACCCCTGTTGACCCCATTTTCACTTCGCTCTTTCTCTCGCGCAGTCCGTCAGCCACGGGAACGGGGACGGCAGGCTTCGTAGAGGGACGCGTACGTCTCTCCTGTGAGTGCGGACCCTCCGAACGGATCGATCAGACTGTCGAGGGGGGGCTTGTCTACAAGCCCCCACGAATCCAGTGATGATCAATCATGGAGGAACAAGGTTTGTGCTGTGCCCGGCATGCGCCGTGATTGTCACAAGTCATCCCCAAGATATACCAACAGGCACTGGCTATTCCCTTCGCGATAGTGTCGGTGGGGGGCCGTTCAAGGTTTGGCGGTGGCCGTCGGGGAGAAGCCGCCAACTGCCAACATTCCCCGAGCTCCATCAATACCATGGTCACACATCGGTCAATAAATTGAGGTGTGAACGTGCTCCACAATCGCCTAGCTCATGCTGGCTGGCAGCCACGGACCTCAAGACACTTGAGTAAGGGGGGAGCGATGCTACCTTCGCAAGTCACTGCTCAACCTGCGCGGGTTCGGGGGAGATGCGCATGATAAATGCACCGAGAAGACCACAAGAACAAACAATCGAGCGAGATGTCAAGCGACATGGTTGGGAGCGTGCGGGAGACGAGGGTTAGGTCGCCGGATCTTGCTGCACTCTTCGTCCCTGTGCTCATTTTGGCTGGCCTGGCTGCCAATAACTGACGCTTTCGATAGCTCGCATGACGGCTGGCTGTTCAAGTGAGAGAGAGACTCAAACCACCGGTCGCAAACATTGAAAGGCAGTGTGAAAGAAAGGTGAGCAAGAATGATATGGCCACTTCAGGGATGCACTATAAACCAAGGACGCGGGGTCTCTCTTGCCACCAGGACACAGGCATGAGCTGTGAGCTTGGAGCCGTCACTAGATGTTGGGGTCACGTGGCCGTCCTATCGGTTACCGAGGGTTCGGCGTCGGCATGACCTCGCTTGAATGTCGGACAAGAATGAGGGGTGCCATGATGGCTGAGGACATCAGCACGTTAGCCTAAGCATTTACCCACGATGACTACTCCACTTGATGGGGAGAATAGACGGAATATCGGGACGTCGTTCAGGTAGCTCGCGGCCTTAGAGCTTGCTTATTGGCCGCGCCGAAGAGAGAGCATGACCAAGGCTTGTTGGCAGGCAGCCCCGCGCCGGCCAAGACCCGATTGCTGCCGGTCCCCGCGGAGGGGGCGGCGGGGAAACTGGCCGAGACTGGAGAAATCAAGTGGACGCGGGTCACGACCTTGGAGTTCGTGCCTCATTGCCGCTGCCGGCTGCCTTTGGACGTCACAAAAAAAGGGGGGAGTGAGTGATATAATAGGGATGAGCTCTAGTCTTTCTTTGACAAGTCCCAATGCCATATTTCTCCTCATCCTACATTTACATCTACTCTGGATCGCTTGCTAGACACCCCTCGTGTCACCTCCGCTACAATGGTTGTCGAGCTGGACGTCGAGGCTCTGCTCAAGAAGCTCACGAATTCCGAAAAAGTTGACCTGCTGGCAGGTTTGTACCCTCACGTTTCCGATCTGAGCCTGGACGAAGAGTTGCCCCTGCGACAAATGCTGACACCGCCGCTCAGGTATCGACTTCTGGCACACCAAGGCTCTTCACAAGCATGGAATCCCCTCGGTTCGCCTCAGTGATGGCCCCAACGGCGTTCGCGGAACCAGGTTCTTCGATGGTGTGAAAGCCGCCTGTTTCCCCTGTGGCACAGCCCTCGGCGCCACCTTCAACACTGCCCTGCTTGAGGAGGCCGGCAGAAAGATGGGCGAGGAGGCCAAGTTGAAGGGGGCCCATTGCATTCTCGGCCCAACAATCAACATGCAACGCGCGCCCCTAGGTGGGCGTGGATTCGAATCGATCGGCGAAGATCCTGTCCTGGCTGGCCTCGGGTCTGCTGCTATTTGCAACGGCATTCAGAGCACTGGCGTCCAGGCCACCCCCAAGCACTTTGTCTGCACGATCAGGAGCACAGGCGCAACGCCGTACAAAGCATACTAACTGAGCGCGCTTCTGCGCGAGGATATACGCATGCCATTCAGCTGACAGTCGCGACTCTAAGCCGGGAGCCTTCATGACAGCATACAACGGCGTTAATGGTGTGTATTGTAGTGAGAATTCCGATATCCTTGAAAAGATACTCCGGAAGGAGTGGGGATGGGACGGCATGGTCATGAGCGACTGGTATGGAACTTACACTACGACCGATGCTGCCAATGCCGGCCTGGATCTCGAGATGCCTGGCCCGTCACGCTTCCGTGGCGAGCTTCTCAAATTCTCCGTCTCTACCGACAAGGTCCAACAACACGTGCTGGACGAGCGAGCTCGTGCTATGCTTGTGTTCGTCAAGAAATGTATGAAGCTGGGCATCCCAGAAAATGCAGAGGAGAAGACAGGCGATACGCCTGAGACGGCGGAACTTTTGCGCCGGATCGGCGGCGAATCCCTTGTTTTGTTAAAGAACAAGAACAGCGTGCTTCCACTGAAGAAGAATAAGAAGGTAGGTCTCACGCCCGCCACCATCCGGCCCCTCCATCCCCCCGGCATTCAAGGTTGCCCGAAGCTAATGGAAATGCTCGATAAGACTGTCATCATAGGTCCCAATGCGAAAATCGCAACCTATCACGGCGGCGGCTCAGCCTCTCTTGCAGCATACTACGCTGTGACTCCCTTCGATGGTATCAGCCAAAAGCTTGAATCCGAACCCATATACGCACAAGGCGCCTATTCCCACAAGCTGTTGCCCCTACTGGGCAACGTGGTCAAGTCGCCGTCTGGGGAGCGAGGAATGGTCTTCCGAGCATATACCGACCCCCCCAGCGTTACTTCTCGCAAGCCAGTCGACGAGCGCATCCTGACGAACACGGAACTCAACCTCGTCGATTACTACGTAATCAAAAACCCGCTGTGGTACGCCGAAGTAGAGGGCTCCTTCGTTGCCGAAGAGGACTGTGAATATGAACTTGGTCTCATAGTTTGCGGTACAGCCAACCTCTTCGTCAACGGAATGCTGGTCATCGATAATGAGACGAAGCAGCGCCAAGGCGATGCGTTTTTCGGCACTGCTACGGTCGAAGAAAGGGGCACGACCGAACTCAAGAAGGGTGAGACCTATACATTCAAAGTCCAATTCACGTCAGCCCCCGCATCTAAGCTTCAGGGCAATAACGTCGTCTTCGGCGGTGGCGCACTACGTATCGGCGGCTGTAAGGTCATCGACGACAAGGAGGAGATACGCAAAGCTGCGGAACTAGCAAGAGATGCTGATCAGGTCATTATCTGTTCTGGCCTGAATGCCGACTGGGAGACTGAGGGCCACGACCGCGACCATATGGACCTGCCTGGCTATCTTAACAAACTCATCTCTACCGTCGGCAAAGCAAACCCCAACACAGTAGTGGTGAACCAATCAGGCACCCCGGTCACTATGCCATGGATCAATGATGTAGCAGCCGTTATCCAGGCGTGGTACGGCGGTAACGAGACCGGCAACGCTATCGCGGACGTTCTCTTCGGCGACGTGAACCCCTCTGGCAAGCTCTCCCTAAGCTTTCCTATTCGAGTACAGGACAACCCGGCGTTCCTGAAACTATCGTGCTGAATTCGCACGTACATTCTATGGCGAGGACGTATATATCGGCTATCGGTTTTACGAGTACGCAGACCGCCCTGTCCTCTTCCCCTTCGGCCACGGCCTATCCTATACCACCTTTGAGTTCTCTGATCTGGCCGTTTCGGATCAGAACCATAACCTGAAGGTGGAGCTATCAGTTAAGAACACGGGGTCCATCGACGGCGCTCAAGTGATCCAGGTCTATGTGGCCCCCAGGCAAAAAGCAACGAAGGTCAATCGTCCGCTGAAAGAACTCAAGGGCTTTGGCAAGGTGACACTCGCGGCGGGCGAGACCAAGAAGGCAATCATCAACATCTCTCCCAAATACGCTGCGAGTTACTGGGACGAAGACCGGCACCAATGGTGCGCTGAAGAGGGGGAGTACGAGATCATCGTTGCCGATAGCTCGGTCGTGACGGATAAGGCGCTCAGGGGATCCTTCACTGTTGCTGAGACATATTGGTGGTCCGGTGTGTGAATCGAAAAGGGCGTCACGATCTATTATGTAGAAGGTTTTCAAGAAGATTGGATTTATACAACAGCCAACACCAATGATCTTTCCTCGCGAGTAGCCTTGATGTACAGCCCTGTACTTCCTCATGGATGCTGGTTGGTACACAATCACGTGATACCGCGTCATGTTGACCAAGCGCCTCTCTATCTTCAGTGACCATATACGTACAGCAATCGCCCTTTCCAACCAGATCGGCTGGTACAGGATACCTCCATGCACGCGCCATGGTCTTGAACGCTCCAGTCCCGCATGCGCTGCCCACAGTCATCTCCCTGAAACAGACGTTTCTCGAATCGCAGACGCGTTTGCTTTCTCTGAATCTTGCCCCAACTCGCCGGTGGCGCGCTGATAATGCTGCGGCAGTCGAACCCTTACCGGTTGCTGCAATCGATGACGCGCTCCTCGGCCTTACCCAAATTCTTCAGCAGCACGCCCGTCGGATCTATCCTCCACAGTCAACGCGCCTCATTGCGGAACAGATCGATAAGCTGTACCAGACCGAGAATGAGACGACAACGTGGGACAGCGGTGAGCTCATCGCTACAAACGCCGACCTAAGTATGAGAGCAATCGCCTCCCTCCCACTTCGTACCTTGTGGTAACCTGGCTGACGCTTCCATCATTTCGGCCCGAAGGCGACGAAAAGTCCATCGCCTCACTTCCACCCACCTGGCCCGTGACAAAGGACTTGGACGCTCTGCCCATGGAGGCCAAGCGGTATGCTGACCATGTATCTGTCCTGAATGCTCTCGTCGCGAGGCGGGCACAGGTACATGAGCGAATCGAGCAGCTGTGCCGTCTAGAGAAGGCCATTCGGCCCTACCGTATAAGTGACAACGGCCTTGGTCTGCAAGAAAACGTGGTCACTCGCGGCGGCGAGGTCGAGAGGGAGCTGGAGCGTATGCGCATGCTTCTTGTGCGTGTTAGTGGCCGCATTGCATCATTGCCTACACCTAACAGTGAGGGTAAAAAAGGAACTCATTCCATCGCTGGAGCTGAGGAGGACAAAATCCAACAACTACTGCGCGAGTTCTGATATTCTGATCCAAGTCATTCGCGGCAACATTTCAAAGGACTGCGAATGAGTAACGACTGATGAGATACATGATAACTTATTACTTGGTATCGATACTTTAGGTTACTATCACGGGCGTTTGCTGCCAGGCCGGGATGCCACGAATAGAACTGTCTGCCCATCTATTCAACAGGTGACAACTTGACCTATGACAATGCATCAGCATCAGCCGTCACTGATGTGGACCACGATGCTTTTCTTCCTCTGCTTGATACCCCCATTCAGAGTCGCATCTTTTTCCGTGTCGTCAATATCAAGGCCCTTTGTCATCTCCGCAACCTGCATGGCAGTATCCAAGGTTTCGCTTTCGACCCTGGTCTGAAGAGACAGGACCTGCAACGTGACCACATCACCTGTTTCTTGTTGGACTTGCGACTCGGGCCCGACCATGTGATATACCCTCAAACCGACCACAACTACAGCGTTCCAGGGGTTCATCTCAAACTCGTCCGGCTCTTCTGGAGTGGGCGATGCTGAGGCGGAAGGACAATGGCACAGGGAGCCTGTGTTGTTGTTGGTCGGGTTGCCCATATTTTTGTTCGTCGCTGCGTTCTCGATCTCTTTGCCCCGCATTTCTAACAAAGCTGAAATGAAGTTGCTCTCTTCGTGACCGCCTTCAGAGCTGTTGAAACTGCGATCGTCAGAATTTACATCTGGCTGACGCCAAACTGTGCGACCGGTCCTCGTAAATCTGCTCTCCTGGTTTCCTGTCCAATCACAAGATCTCTGCTTCCCGCCTTCCTGAAGTATGCTTCGAATGGTCGAGCGTAGTTTGTCTTGTTCGTGGGCACCCCGCACCTTCTCGTCAGAGGCGCGCGTAGATTTTGCGTTGGCTCCCATTAAACCTTTCCCATGAGCGATATCATATGCCAATCCGGTATGCATTAACTTGTCCCGCCGACTTTTGGCGTACTTACGAATCACTTGATGGGTGGGAAGTAGGTCGTCGTTGCGAGTGGCTTCAACACGGACGTGGATTTCGTAGTTGCCAGCTTCAAGATCAATCTCGACGTTGACCGATCTTCTCATTCGGTATGCAGGCTCGCTGCGAACGACATATGCCTCTCCATCGCCAGCTCTATGCAAGCGGAAGCCGAGGTCAAATCGATATTGACCTTCCAGGCCTCGAAAGTAGCGATCATCCAGCTGTGATAGCACGATGACCACCGGCCCAGCCCTAGTAATAGTCAGAGCGAAAGAAGTTTTGTGGTAGTCCGAAACCCAGGGAACCTCTAGAGTGGTCCATTTCGTTATCGAAGTCCAGTCGGGGCCAAAGAGGCGAGTAACGTCGAACATTGAATACTTCTTTAAGAGGTCGGTATAAGAGATCCAAAAGGCTCCATCATCGCCGAAAGAGTGATTGAGTTGCCGTAGCCATTCTGGAGTCCATTCCTTCGAGCCATCAGACCATGCACCTTATATTTCGTTAGCAAAAACTACGCCAGACGGGGGGGGCGAAAACAATTCTCAGAAGAACGCATTGGCCTGACCTTTCCACTCTCCTTTGCCCCATGGATTCTTCAGGTGAACAAGGCGTTCCCCGTTGAGCTCAACTGCCTTCATTACACTGTACGCATGCATTTCGACGATTCCATTACGCTCACCCCGGCCTCTTGAAGCAAACCCAGTCGAGCAGCTGATGAGGCAATCTTGATTCACGCGCAGAAACTTCTGCTTCCAGAAAACCTCTTTGCTCAGAATATCTGTGGTGTAGAGCTCAGTCGTAACCCCTCCGGTCAAGTCTTCGACGGCCTCGCCGGTAAAACCGCCCTCGATGGCAGAGTATTCACCATGAGCTTTCGCGTAAGCCTTTTCCAGTAGCGGAAGCCACGTTTCGTTTGGATTCTCACATTGGGCGAAATACAAGGCGCCGCTGTTTGACTGGTAGATTTTGCGGTAGGCATCTTCTGAGTTGATGCGTTCTCGGTCATCCCAAAGGTTTCGCTCAAGATAGCTTTCGTCATAGTCAGGTTTTGTGAGGTAAAGCTATCAATTGAGGTCAGGAGGTGACCCCAATAGGTTCACTTGCCACCGCGAAAGTGATTTTGAGACGACGAAGGGGTTCCATCGTACCTTGTCGTCAATGATGACACTGAACCACTCAGCGTCACAATGGAAGACGAAGCCATAGACTCCGACCTCCTGGTCATGTGAAACACACACCCTTTCGATCAGGCCAGGCTTATTGCTGAGGCCGCACAGGGCTGCCATAAGCCAACAATCGCCCCCACGACCTTGGCGCACATCGTTGGCAGTAGCGTCGTCGATGTAAAATTGAGGCTCATCAAATATGTCAACAACGCGTTTAATGGACCTCGGTCGCAGCAAAGGATCCGGCGGCTCTCTGTCTTTAATGTTCCAAAGGGAGTCGAGACAATTCCGACTTCCGAATTTCAAATCGAACTCGAGATCAAAATGCGGGTCGCGATACTTCTGGTTAACAGCGCGGCATTCATCCACGATCTTGCGCACTTTGATCCGGCAGAGGGCTACTGCTTCGTCGAATGAGGTATGTGTTGTTCTCTTAACTGCCTTTTCAACGTGGGGGTTCCTGGGAATGACAGTAGTGGCTATCGGTCGTTGATTAGTCTTCAAGTCATTTTAACGAAAGGTTAAGTGCATGTATGATACCCTTGCCCGGAGCTTTGGTGGTAAACTTATCCCAGAACTCGTCAATGGCCGCTTGAGGCGCTTGCTGTATCCTTTTGCCTTTAGATACGGCTGCGGAGGCCATTGTGTAGTTGATGACGGGCTGGCACCTCGATCTCCGGCTGATCGGTGGCACAGGCAGACGAATGAGAAAAACAAAGTAGCGCGCAACGATACGCAGAATAAACGGCGAACGTCGGCACAAAGCATGCAGTATCACGGGAGAGGCGGTGTGTTTGTGAGGGTCGAGACACCAACGTGATCGGGTTGGACAAAGCTGGAAACATGTCAAGCTTCACCAGACCCAGGCAGCAACCGCCACGCAGAGAGGGGTCGCAGCTGCCCATAAAGAGGCAAGCAAATGAGGCTGAGCAACATGGTTTCCACCGCCACCATGATTGGACGTCGGTGCAGTGACATTAGCAGTACATGGTAAACTGCGTCTGCATGTGCCGTCTGCATTCGCACGCAGCACAAACCACCGGCGTGAGCCAACGTGGCCTGCGAAAGTACTACACAAGTACGGAAACCCTTAGCGACCAGATCCAGGCTCCGATTGTCGAGCGCCTGGTGAAAGGTAGTATCGCGTCTGCTTACCGCGAACACCTGGAAGCAGTGCACAGTAAGGTAGATGAGGTATTTCATGTCTACATCGCGACAATCAAGTCGACTGACGTCCCTGTTCGTTCGCCGTTCGAGTGAAATATTCTACGTAGCCACAGTCACTCCCTCCTCTCAACCCAACCAGCTACCGCTGCAACCAATCTCAAACTGAGCCCTCTTTAGAAGAGGGGTTATCGGTCCAGGGCCTCTGAGATTGACATTTGGTATCTACTGCCGTCGTCGGGCAGAAAATCTTGCTATGTCGCCCACCAGGCCTGGCAGCTTCACCGACGCTCCGTGAGTTCAACTTCTTCAAGACACCCAAGAAGTCGCTCAGCTGCTGACCACGAGTATCGCACGATAACGGCTCGCTATGCCACTCTGCCAAGAGTCTCTACTCAATAACCGTCTGTCTGCGCTGTCCCATTTGCCGCTCAAACGTAACCGGGGTCCACAAGAAGACCCGAGCCTTACGTTCGCCGTGCCCAAAATAAATCCTAGGGGCATTAGGCCGTAAAGTTATTGGTAATCGTAGGTTTCCTCCTTCTCATCCACCGCGGGAACTCTGTGCGAGCTGGACTTGCGTAATAGTCAAGGACCGTATTACAGGAGTTGTAGTCAAAAGAATGTATGATTCGTTGAATGAAAGCTTGAGCCGTGTCCGAGGGTTTGAAAATCCGACAGAGCTGAAGAAGAGGAATGTGTCCTAGACGCCGTAGAGATAAAAACAAGTGATGCGCCCTATGTCCATGAGTAATGTTTCGTGTGGATAGCGTGAGCCCGTGCGTGATGAATAGCGTGAAAGAAAGAAAAAGTTGAGGTCGTTGTGATGATAGTTCTAAAGCAAGATCCGTTTCGGCCTAGGTACGCACGGCACAGAGACCGTAGCAAGTGACCAAGCCGAGACTCCTGGAAAGCGGGCCAGCGCAGGTGACAAGGCGTGCCTGTCCGACCAGTAACAGGGGCGGGAGACGGGCTTTTTCTTCTTAGGCAACGGGGGCCAATGGAGCGACAGGCGGCGCCAAAGTGGCCGTAGCGTTAAGGTCGACAACATCGTTGGGAATCTCGCCATTGGCGACCTTCTGCGGGCAGTCGCGCGAGATATGACCAGCCTCACCGCATTGGTAGCAGGTCTTTCCAGCGGTGTTGAGCGGTCCACCGTTGGGCGCGGTGCAATCGCGAGAAATGTGGCCGAGCTTGCCGCAGGCGTAGCACTTCATGGCTTGGGCCTGGCAGTCGCGCGCAAAGTGGTTAGGTCCTCCACACTTGTAGCAGGTTGCGGGGCGCGGACCGCCGGCGAAGCCGCCTCGTGCAAAGCCACCATATCCGCCGCGGGGAACGGCAGCACCACGACCCAGGCCAACACCAGCTGGGGTAGGGCAGGTTCGCTGGAAAATGAAGTTCGTCAGAACGCAGATCGAGACTTGCATTGGTAGATGGAGCTTGGCTTACGGCGAGATGACCAGGCTGGCCGCAATTGTAGCAGCGACCACTAGTACCTGCACCGCTCAAGCGAAGAGTCGGGCAGTCCGCCTGAACGTGCCAAGGCCCTGGCAGTGGTAGCACTGCTTAGCCTCGGTGGTACGAGGCAGAGGGCAGCCATTGGACTCGTGTCCTTCGTTGTTTACGTCAGTGAGTGATTCATATATTATGGCTTGGCGCACCACAGCTTACCGGGTTGCTTGCCTAGTAGATAGTCAGTGGGAGTGGCGCAATAATAGTTGGCAGGTGGGAGTCATACAGTTGTAGCAAAGGCGCTCAGCAGAGGAGCAGACCTCGGCGTAGTGGCCAACATTGCCACACTTGTAGCAGGCGCGGCGAGAGAGGGAAGACATGATGTGAACAATGATGATCTGCCTCAGACGTTGTCAGCAAGGTTTCATCCAGGCTTTACTGATACAGACGGCCGGCCACTGGTCCAAAGGACGACAATAAGACCTGTAAGTTGTCGATCTACAATTCCGGCAGAACAGTTCGGCTGATCCGTATGGTGTTCCACAGTTGAGCCGATCAATTGCGCAGGTGCGCTTAACAAGTTTCAGTCGCAGTATATGGTTGAGGCCTGGCGCACCAAGCAATGGTAGGATAGCGAACAAGGCAAATCGCGGGCGCGTGTCTTGCGGCGCAAAAGAGCAACCTGGTTTGGACGCAGGGTGCTGCTCTCAAATTGCGATGCGACGCACTCGCAAGCGAAATTAGGCGACCGGAATTTTTCTAGTTTCGTAGGCGGACTCAAGGACGGGTGCAACAATATCAAGGAGCTCCGAAAGATCTCAGCGGAGAGTGCCTGTGTCGCCCATCTCTGGCGTTGAGAGGCAGGCGCAAGCATGCTGCAGTTGCAACTGGCCGGTGGTGTTAATTTTGTGGTGGTGGTGGTACGTGATGCGTGATAGGGTACACAGCCTCGGCCGAGGGGAGCGGAGGGGGCGGAGGGGAGCGGAGGGGAGACGGGACATTGCGGATAAGGAGGGGGTGTACACGGCCTCAGTCGTGCGAAAGCAATTGACGAGCAAGAAGATGAAGGGAAGACAGCTTACCTTGGTTTGCGAGTAAAGTGGTGGATTGCAGGAAAATCGTACAAGGAATGGGGGACGGCGGGGGGGTATCGTTTTCTTCGATGAGCGGAAAGTAGTGTTCTCCTGAGTCCAGCAACAACCGTCGACGACGACAACCTTCCAATCTTCTCACCACCAGCAGCCCGAGAGGGGTTCTCGAGTGGAAAAATTTTCAAGAAAGTGACGATGTTTGGTGGAAGCGGAAGCGGAAAGGGGAGCGAGAAGGGCATGGGCGAGTGAAGAGACGCAGACCACAGGCCGGGTGCCCCAAGGTCCAAAAGAGGAGAGGCACAGATCCATCGTGGTGGACACCTCGTTCCTGGTGCTCTCCTGTGACTGGCGTATGAGGGCCAGGCACCGTGCGCCTGCCCCGGGACCGGGGGGAGGGGTCGCTTCGACTCGACATGGTTGTGGGGTGGGTAATCACTCCACCATCACGTTTGCGACACGTGATATAGCTTCAACAGGCATGTTGTATCTGACTGTCCAAGCACTCAGTGGCTCCTACGGAGTTCACGGTACTGTTCCACGTACCTGACCTTTTACCGAGCTCAAGCTGACATCGAACCAGCCTTTGTATGACAACAACATCGAATCATACATGTATTGCAGCTAAGGTACCTTAAGGTGTATGCCACAACCCGATTCCAATCGTACACTCACCATGGAGCTTGCCTTCCATTCAGCCGCCCCACCTCCGAGGGGTGGACGGGCTGAGGCGTGGGCATTTCCATCATTGCGGCAGGTGCTATGGAGCGAGGCCTAGCCTCCACAACGTAGTCAACTCCATCCTCCGAAGCATATGAGGGCGGTCGAGAAGCGCCTGGATTCCCCATCTCTGTCGTTCTTGAGTCGCCTCGAGCAGGTAGTGGCTCATTCGGTACCGCGTTTGGGTTACGCTGCCAGTAAATGCGATCAGGGTCGACTCGCTTAATTTTATCTTCTCGTCAGTGATCCACTTCATCATGTGCCAGGGCGGACGACAAGGGAGGTGCCGGATCTTACCACACTCTGCCGCCAGGCACCGTACGGAGGCGGCTTGGTTTCTTGGCGGCTTGCTGTCCAACTTCGGATCCCTCTTCTTCTCCGGGCCAGGACTACTCGAATCGAATCGGCTCTTCCGGCACCGCAAAGATCCCGAGATGCTGCGCTTCATGTGTCACTGGCTGCTCTGGCTGCGGCCGATACACCAGCAGGCAGAGGCGGACCACTCTGTGACTGAAAAAGACAGCGGCAAAGAGGATCATTAATATGAGAAGTACCGTGAACTCGCTCTGCTGGATCTTTCTAGACACAGTCAAGGCCAGATCTATTTGAATCTTGCGTTAGATCGCGTTACTCGGCGCTACCACATACGAGAGACTAGCGTTAACTAGCAAGACAACTTACAAACAGTCAGAGTCATGAGAACCAGACACCCTGAGACGAAGCACTGCACAGCCAGGGACCGAGCACGTTGTGAGGCGGTCCACGGCAAACAGAATAAAAAGCGTTTCGGTTGAGTGCCAGCATGGCCGGGCTGCCTAAGCCCCAGCCACGTCCCTCGTCTCGGTTGTCTGGAGCGTCGATATTGTTGGTTCCCTCCTTCTAGAGCTCTCGATTCGTGTACGTAGATGCCCGACCAACGCGCGTCGGGCCATCTATTTCCAGCCAAATGAACCGGCGACATCGGCGCACTTGATCGCATCGGAGGAGAGTGCCTGACTTCGCCTGCTCGAGACGCAGCAGTTGGTATCACATATTGCTGAATGAATCGAGGAGAGATGCCCTGACCATTTCCCTCACTTCTGTCGATTCGAAGTGGTGGTAGGCTGAAGCCGAGATTGAATCGTGGAGTCTTGGGGCTGTCACCGGCTTCGCCAGTATCGTTACTGAGGCTCGTGATGGGTGCATTATCATCGGCTGATCGTCTTGTGAAAGGTTGTGGGCGCCGTACTGAAAGCGGACCTAGGCGCCATGAGGAGGCCTGTTGCATTTCGTTCGCGACTGCAGGTCCACCAGCCTCGTGCAACCCAACAGTCCGCTGTTCGGTCTCCCCATAACCCGCAGCGCGCCCCGGACCCAGGCGATCCATCGGCTGGTGTCGTCAGACAAAAGAGAGGGCGATCTATGCAGTTACTTTGTTCATGGCCTGCAACATGGGTCGTTGCTGAGTGTGAGGTGATGATTCCTATTGCAGGGCAAAACAGCGCACTGCGACGCTAGATAGTAACTGTTGCTAGTCGGGAGGATCGTTGTCGCTAAGAGATGTCGATCAGTCAGTGCCTGCCTTCTGCAAGTGTATATTCGTGAGCCACGACATTGATAGCTGGTACCTACTACAACGAAAATTTCTCTTGATGAACAGAAGTACTCGGACAATAGCCAGTCTTGCGAATCTGTGACACCACCCGAAAAGAGAAGTTTGCCAAAGTTGGGCCTCGGGGAGGTGGGAAGAGGCATGCTTGATCAATATTAGGCAAGGGGCGCGGATCGAGACAGCTAGGGGTAAATATGTTGTTGGTTTGGGGGAATGGATCGGATGGTGTCAGGTCAAAGAACATGTCGGCCTTGCACCAAGGATTGTGCTATGGGTACGGGATTCTTGGAAGGGACGGGTGAAGGGAGGGGAGGCCAACTAGGACGAGGGGTGAGGAAATGTAACGCGATCGCTGCGTCGCAGGGTTATGTTCCGTCCATTCAGACGAGACGCGTCAGGGGCCAAAGACCCCAAAGGTTCCCAGACAGTACGCTTTATCGACCGAAGTGACACTCATTGCCACTGACCATGTCATACTTTGCCTGTCCTCCGACACGTACATGTATGATGCTGTCCGACTGCCGCCTGGACACGCAGGGGCACGGGGTTTGGTGATGGGGCAGATCAGGTTTCGGATTTCGTGTGAACCCCCTCCCTGTTCGAGACCCCACGCGGCTTTGGCGATCGGCTGATTGGCCCTGAATCAATAGCTGAAGCACAAAACAGCACTAAGATGCCTACCTAGACTGGAACGTCACCCAATCGTTGTCTCCTTGGTAGTTCGAAATGGAACTCTCTTCTGTACCTTGCATTCCTTCCTCTTCATCATTTTGCCTCAAGTAATTTGCCCTTTTTTGTACGATTTCTCGAGACATTGAAACAATCATCGTCAACTATTCTGAATGTCGGAAGCAGCCTGTGAAGCCCAATGTAAAGAAATGCGGCGCGACTTGTTCATTGACAGCCTGCTTCCATCCAAATACACCACACACCATTAACAGGAGCGACTTTAATGAAATATTTGTGAGACCTGCGCATAACCTACAGATGGATAATGAACGCTGTGGTGAGCTACTGGCACGATGAAGGATCAACCAATAAGGACGGCCCTGTTATTGTCTTTGAACTGTCTGATATAGTAACGCCAGCATCATTTCTCAAGTGCGTAGTTGCAGTCAGGCGCCTGCCTGTGCGCGCAGCCCGGAAACCGTCACACAACATCTCATAGACATCCGAGAAACATAACGTTTCAGCGTGTCCAAATGTGTATCGACTACAATATGGTGAGTGGCTAGTCTCCCTCCCATAATCAAGTTTTTGAACGGCTCATGCCTTCATTTTCGTCCCTGGCCAGGCCCCTTTCATCGCTTAAGAAGGCCCGGAGGGTCGCAAGCGCACACGCCCTCTTTCGCCTGGATCTGAAGCCGAGAGGGTAGCCAGAGCATGATTTGATCTCTTCAAGACAGCAAGACGGTAGCCATACTGCGATGAGCCTCCCTGCATTCCTGCTGTAATTCCGAATAAACCACCGATCTAGTACATCGAAGGCTCTGTGTGGTTTGCCATGTCTCAGTGGGTAGAGTGTAGGTGAATCATCGTAGCTCGCCCAGAAGCATATTGCGATCAGAAGACGCCGAGAGAACTATTTGTCTTGTTAGATTGGACAAAAAAAACCACCAAGCTTACACTTACGAATAGGTTCAGATCCTGGTGCAAATTCGGCGCAGTTGACAGTGCCTTTGTGTCCAGGAAGCTTGTACGCCAATTTCCCGGAGTCATTGGACCAGATGGTGACAGTGCCGTCCCCGGAGCCCACGGCCACGTGTTTGCCAGCTGAGTCCCAACTTGCGCGAACAAGGTTCTTCTCTAAGCCCGTAGAGGCGCCATCGAACGTCCGAATGTGGCGTTCTGTTGGTGCAAAGGGGCGGATGTCCCATGTTCTTGCAGTGGAGTCCATGGCATAGGATAGGAGCGACTGTGAATCAGGGGATACCCTCAATGAAGTGATCGTGTCTTGATGGCCGAGCATGGAATACACAACGGCTTTCTTTCGCAAGTCCCACACCTTGATGTCGTTATCGATACCGCCAGAGTAGACTTCATTGCCAGCTTCCGATATGGCGACTGCCGTCACAGGAAAATCCGTTTGTATGTAGTCCGCCGCATGTTTGGTTCGAGGATCCCAGAGCCCGATTGACCCGTCATCGCTGCCACTGATGAGCACCTCGTCGCCTCGCCTGCTGATGTCCATAGCATTAATGACCTCCTCATGGCCGACATAGCGCCGTATCCGTGTGCCATTGTCGAGATCCCAGCTGGCCAAATGCATGTCGGCCGAGGCTGAAAAAAGAATTCGCGAGTCTCTCGACCACTGGAGGTCTAAAACGGCACCGCTGTGCCCTTTGAGGATACCGTAATTCTCGCAATCGCCATATGTTCTCCACAGTACTATGTCCACTAAGTCAGCGATTTGTTATGAATGCAACTGCGACGAATGTCAGTAAAAGCTTACATATACTTCTGTCCATGGATCCTGAAGCGATGAAGTTCCCAGTAGGATCAAACTTGGCTGCGAAGACCTCGCCAGAATGGCCGGACAGCTCCATCACCGGCGCTTGCAGCCCACTGGTTCGAGGAGCCTACAGAGAAGATGTGTAAGCATACTAACAACAATCATCATTACCTATACACGAAATCCATAACGACTCACAGTCTTAACAAGAGCAGTGCCGTTTGCAGAGGCATTGAGCCTTGCGAGGGCTCCTGAAGATGTTCCAACATTTTGTCTCTTAACCAGCGCCTGCCTGGGGCCTGGCTCGTCGGAGGCGGGTCGTTTTTCGGCCGACATGTGAAGCTGGACAGTCGAATCGGGTGATTTCGTAGTGTTATTTCAAGCGAGTGATTAACGTGTGCTGTAGGTGGGCTCGTGGACAGTCGGACGCTTGGGATGTGCCGCCAGTCAACTGTTGATACAGCGCGCGTTGGAAGGTACGAAATGCAGAACTTAGGTATCTGGTCCGAAACCGAAACTCGCAAAGGATGGATGTACTACCATATTGGCGCGACGAGACGTGTTCGTGGTGGGTCGACTTTTCGTTAAATGAGATAGCCCAGTTAGATACATATGATGCGTCCGTCGGGGCTGTAGCGTGGGCCCAGTTTACAGTCAGGAACAGTCGGGGCCTGCCACCCACGAGCGACTGCCATGCATCACAACAACCTCAAGTCGTAACAGGCAATGTAGCTATTGTTTCGCGCACGAAATTGCCATTTCCCACCAGTTCACACCCACCCGCGTCCGGCAACAATCACCTGACGCGAGCTCCTCACACCGCCGGCGGAGACTTCACGTCATACCTCCCGAGGTAGTCAACGCATTCTGAGCTGCAGCGTCGAGGCCAAGCCCCCCAACTGTATCCTTGATTGGCGATATCCGCAAACATGTCCGCAAACAAGGCTACTCGGCTCGGTGAGGAGTAAGTGGCCTGTCCCAAGGATCTGCGTGCCCATGATATCGGTATTAACACACGTAGGATATGGAAGTAAGCACCAAGTTCCTTCTCGCTAAAACGATCCTCTACCAATGCGTTTCCAGTCCTAACCTCGGGTCGGCCCCCCCAGGACTCGAGTCGACAAAGTCAACGCCGAGCTTGTTACACTCACTTACGGTACCATAGTTGCCCAGCTGTGCAAGGACTTCGACAGTGATTATGTCGAGGTCAACAAGCAGCTAGATAAAATGGGCTATAACATTGGGTTGCGCCTGATCGAGGACTACCTAGCAAAATCAAACACTATGAAGAGATGTTCCAATTTTCGAGAGACTGCGGATGCGATTGCGAGAGTGCGTTCATGGAGGCCAACCCCAGCCCATCCCCCTCCTTTACTGACGAGCCATCAACACTAGGTTGGATTCAAAATCTTCCTCAATATCACACCGCAAGTTACCAATTGGACGACAGACAACAAACAGTTCTCCCTCGTGTTTGATGAGAACCCCCTAGCCGACTTTGTCGAGCTGCCAGATGACGCTCGGGCACAGGATGAGCTTTGGTATTCCAACCTATTTTGCGGAGTACTTCGAGGGGCACTTGAAATGGTGCAGATACAAGTCGAGGCCCACTTCATCAGCGATGTACTTCGGGGTAACGATACAACGGAAATGAGGGTTTCGTTGATACGATATATTGACGATGAACTGCCCCCGGAGGACGATTGAGTAGCCCCCAGTTCCGAGATATGCTGCGCCTCAATTACTGTTCGGCATGAGCAATTCATAATGGCGTAGCGAATTGCAAAGCAGTCGGTTTTTCCAACTTTCCAGGCTGACCTCGCACACTCGAATCACCTCACACGATCGGCACAATGAGTGGAGATTGAAGCATCAATCCGGCTAATGAACCATACATGCAGGCAGCGGAGGACTTGAAAACAGGCCTGGCAAGTCAAGGCCTGGTTCTTGGTATCATATATCACTCTGTTGCTAAGAAGCGGTCGCTCAAGCGCAGGCTTAGGAGTGCGCGTATGAGCTCGAAACGTAAGAATGGCATTGGCGATTCGAACAGGCGAAGCACCCGGACAAGGCTGTGCTTTGAGATTGGTGGGCTAAGTTTGGCTCTGCCACACGAGTCGGTTGGCAATGCCGACCTGAATTGTTGCTTGATATCTCCTATCATGGCCGGAATGGGGATGAGTGCTCCAAGCATAGAACAAGACGACCTGATATCGCCATCATGCAATACTTACCCCTGAATGATCGCGTGGGCGGCCCTATGCCGGGGCAGAGCTCCAAGTGCTGGACAAGTCCGGGTCGGCGCGGGGTCGCCCTTTTGGAAGAGAGGCGCCTAGTTAACGGTAAGGAGTTCCTCGTCCCACGAGCCGCGCTTGGCATCTGGAGGACAGCTCAGGTGGGGCATTGTGTGAACTTCTTGATGATATAGAATACGTCTCAACTATCACAATTAGAGACTATTAGAAGAGATCAAGGTGCGGAAGGCCCTTCGACAGATATGACAGCTACGCAAGCATTTTTCGGTTCACGCTGCACGGTGCAACTTTCCCCCAGTGCGTCCGTAACTCTACTCATTCTTAACATGAGGTAGGTACCTTACCTATCTATAAAAGCTAGCCAACAGGACGGCATGAATTCAAATGTATGCCTCAGGCTCACACGTGCCCATAAATGCGCAGACGTGCTCAGCTCTACCCGCAATTGGAAGTCTCGTCGCTGTTCTCGGGCCTGCCACCCAGGTCTACGGGTGTCCCCCAAGAGCTCCCCATGCCCAGATTCACCTAAGTGCCCCTGTTCTGCCTTGTCTAGCTTTCGACTTGGCTGCTAACGAAAATTGGGAAAATCCCAACCCCATCCTTTCCCTCTTCACTAGCGACTCCCTTCTCCTTCATCGACTCGTCCTGCTGGCGCCCCCCCTCCACCCATACAGAGCGCACCCCCTCTCTTTCTCCAGCTACGACCTTACCTGTGTCGCCTACCCATGGTCGCCTTTTGATGCATCCAATTCTTTCGCTTGGCCACTCGATTCTGTCGCATCGCCTCGCCAGTTTCGTGTTGCGAATGAGCCACTGCGCTGCATCCGCGAGACCAACTAAGCGAGCCCCGTAAAACACCCTACTACCGCGAGCGGCACGCCAAACCAGCGTGTCACCACTGCCATACCACGCCCACGCCTCCTGCCGCGCCCGCCTCGCAACTATTCCAGCGCCTTCCACACTTGCGCACCTCAACCCCCGTCCATCCAACTCAATCTCTATTCACTTTCCGCACGTCCAGCAGTGCCTTCGCCGCTGCTTCTGATTGTCCCTCTGCCTCAGGCTTGCTCTTCGTCCGGTGGCCTCTGTCGCCCCCCGACACGTCCCGCGCCAGGAGAGGCTGCTAGCGCTCCGCGTCTTCCACGGAGAGAACGCTACAAACTCGACTCAACATCAAGCCATCGAACCACTGACTTGGACCAGACTTGCAACCTTTTTGGTCACCGCTCACGGCGAGACTTGCTAATCGAGCACCTCAAGGTCGCTGTCCCTTTCCAACTCAACCGACGAACTTTATCACGCACGACGCCTACATCGCCAACCATCCATTCCACTCCCACCTTGTCTCGCAGACAATTGTCTGTGACGCGATTTCATCACCATGAACGTAAACCCGAACGTTCCCAACATGAACGCCATGGGTGGCCCAGTCGGCGCACCCATGCCGATGATGAACAATGGTGTCGTCCCTCCCCAGGCCGTTCCTGGCCCTGGCCCCGGGCCTGCTCCGCGACCAGTACTAGCTCCCACTGAGAGCCAGCGAACACTTCTCAACACTTACATCTATGAGTACTTCATCCGAAACAATATGTACGATTGTGCTCGTGCGCTTCTCGGCAGCGATGCGCAGGTTAATGTGCATAAGGACAGTCACAATCGTCGTAGGGATGAGAACGGCAATGTCCTCGGCAACGGTCTTGGTGACGACCCCATGGATACCGACTCCAAGGATGACATGGACAAGCTGCCGGAAACCTGCCCGGCGCCAGTTGCGTATGCCTGCATCCGAGACGTCTTTTT